ATTCTCCTTCTCTTTTCTCTATCCTTTCCAAGGACAAATTCATCTGCTCCATGGTTTTGATGCAGATAGTAATAATTAAGACACTGTGCTAAATAATTTACATCCATTATCTAATTCAATATTCACTATGATCCAGTGAGGCAGGTATAAACATCTTCACTTTGCAAAGAGAAACTGAGGCCCAGAGAGATTAGGTGACTTGCCTGAGTCACATAAAGTGCCTTCAGCAGCAGGTACCAGAATACCACCCCCACCACACACACAAAAAAACACAAAAGTAGCTTGAGCATTAGGGGTTTATCTCCCATCACAAGAAATCTAGAGGAGGGTGACATCCAGGTGGTTTAACTGAGCAGCTCAGTGATCTGCAGATTCTAGGTCAGCTTCTCTCTGAGTCTCTTGGCTCTCCCCTCATGGCCCCAAGATGGCTGTTAAGCTAAGCACTGCATTCTCCCTCAATATCCAAAGGCAAGCAGGAAGGGATTTTTCCTCCTGGCATCTCTCTTTTTACTGGAGAGGAAAGCCTTCCATAGAACCTTCTGGAAAATTCCCATGAGTCCCTGCCTCCCCACCCTCTTCTTTCTTCCCTCACCCTCTCAAGTTGTAACTCCAGCCATGCTGACATTCTCTCAGGTCTGTACCAATTAGGGTCCTGGTGGCTAGCGTAAATAGTGAAGGAGTTTATTGAATAATGTGGGGTGTTCACAATTTCCAAACCTGGATAGGAACCAAAAGCAATTAGGCTAAGAACATAGGCAAGGACATGACACAGGAAAAGCCTGGTTGGACAGCCACTACTAGCCACCCACTGCTGTGGGACTCTCCCCTTCCTTCAAAGAACAGGCCCTGCCACTCTGCCTCTCTCCCTCAAAGGTCAAAGTCCTGGGCAAGAACATCCCATTGGTCAAGCCTGGTCATGTGCTCATCCCCTGGTTGCCAGGGAGGCAGGCAAGAGTCCACCCTATTAGCTTCTGTAGGTGAAATGTGGCTGTTTCCCGCAAGCCCTTTACAGTATAGTATTTCCACGACATAAGAGAGGCATTCCTCTGCTGAGTACCTTGCTTCCCCTCAAATTGCCATAGTCTCTCTTGCGTCCAGACCATTCCCTTTGTCCCCTCTCTCTTCTCTAGGCAAATTCTCCTCATTCTTGAGATTTTATCTCTCTTAGATGTCATTTCCCCTCAAGTCTGGGCTAGGTGCGCTTCTATTGTGTCCCCACTAAAGCCTGGACTTCCCCCAGCGTATCCTCCGTCATTGTACTGAAATCACCATCTTTTCTTTTTTTTCCCCCACTTGACTACAAGTTCTATGAGGGAGGAGACCCTACCCTCCTTGTTCACCACTGGATCTCCAGCACCAAGCACAATACTAGGCACATAATATATGCTCACTAAATGTATATTGAATGAATCAAGTAAAGAACGAATAAGATGAATATTAATGGCACCACCATTCCCCTAGTCACCTGGCCCCAAGACTGGGACATTCTCATCCCCATCTGGTCTGGTGTCAAGTCCCATTAATTCTATCTCCATTGTCCAGTCCCTCATTACCTTTCTCTTGGCCTTTGCAATAGCTCCCTGTGGTGGACATCTGTCCTTTCTGTATGTCCAATAGCTTTCTCCTCTTATTTTGGAAGTTGTCATTTGTTTTTGGCATCTACTTCTCCCATTCTTTGCAGTCTGAGGGAACTGTCAATCAAGGTATTCACCACCTTTGCCAAAGAGTGAACATGAGATCCAAGCTTTAAATTTGGGTAGAATGACACAGATATTTTTAAAAACAAAAATGAGCTCAGTCATTCCAATGGTAGCATCCATGAGAAATTGTTTATTAGGTGTTGGGATAGCCTCACCCAAGTTTAGAACCAAAAGAGATAGTTGAAGACGTATTGCAGAGGGAGATCAGAGTATCAGCTTTATTACTGATAAAGTTTTTGGAGATGTTTTGTTTTTGTTTTTGTTTTTGGGAGGAGAGGTAATTAGATTCTATATGTATTTTTAAATTAATTTTTATTTTGTTTTATTTTTTAGTGGTGGTACTCGGGATTGAACCCAGGACCTTGTGCCTGCTAAACATGCACTCTAACGCTGAGCTATACCCTTCCCTGAGAAATGTACCTTTAGGTCTGATTGACATGTGGGTTTGCTAATGCTGAACCCCCAAATTAATCTTTTCTACCCAATCTCAGGCAGAGTTGGAAAATCATAGTTTTCCCTGTGAGGGTCAGACCCTGGAAAATTTAGAGCACGCAGGAAGAGAGGAAAAAAGCATGGTTCTTGTGGGCAAGTAGATCTGAAAGAGAAAGAAGGAGGAAGAGCTGAGTTAACTCTAATCATTCTCCCTAAACTCACCAATCAGAGCGGTCACTCCTCCTCCTCCTCCTCTTGGGAGGATGGATGAGTGAGGAGGTGAGGTGGGAAGCAGAGTGTTACTCTAAAAGAAGTCCCTTCACATGGAAAAAGCTGGAGGAGGAAATAAACATTCCCCTAGGCATTATCCCCTTGTTCCTGTTACCTAGATTACCCAAAGCAGCTCTGGGTCCTGCCATTCCTGAGGCTGTGGGTTATACAACTGTTTCCTCCCAATTACCTCCTTTCTTGCTTAATGTAACCAGTCTTTCTGTTGCCTGCCTCCAAAGAACATGTATTAGTTTCCTACTGCTGCTGTAACAAATTTGGTGGCTTAGAAGAAAACAAATGTATTATCTTACAATTCTAGAGGTTAGAAGTCCAAAATGGGCCTTATTGGACTAAAATCAAGATGTTGGCAGCTGTGTTCCTTCCAGAGGCTCTAGGAGGGAATTTTTTCCTTGCCTTTCCAGCTTCAGAGGCTGCCATGATTCCTCTACTTGGGGTCCCCAGCCAGCCAGCCATCACACTGCTCTGACCTCTGCTGTGTCACCGCATCTTCTCTGGCTCTCCTGACTCCCTTTTATCCTTATGAGGACCTTCGTGATTATATTGGGCCCATCCAGATAATCCAGGATAATCTCTCCATCTCAAAATCCTGAACTTAATCACATCTGCAAAGTCCACTTTGCCGTGTGTGGTAACATGGTCACAAGTTCCAGGGATTAGGATGTGGGCATCTTTAGGGGGCATTATTTTGTCTACCGCAAAACACTGACAGAAATATTTCTTAGCTTATCTTTCATTCATCTCTTTCTCTCCTCTCCAATCTGTCCTGCAAGTGACCTTTATAAAATATGAATCTAATCATGACTATCCTACCTAAGAAACTTCCTGATTCCCCAAAGTCCATTGAATAAAACCCACAGCACACCCTACTCTCTCTCACTTTTGACGGTTTGCTCCAAATGTTCCTTCGGCCTGAAATGTTCCACCATCCCAAAGCCAAATCCTCTGTAACCTTCAAGATCCCTCTCACAGAAATCTCCATGATCCCTCCAGCTGGAACCCAGCTGCGCTGTGAGTCCCACATCTGTAGAAACTGCCTGTCTTATCACCTGGCAGTACTGGGTACCAGCCAGTCAGACAGATCTCACTTTTTTGTGCCTTAGTTTCCTCTATTTAAAAAAAATGCAGTAGGGGAGAGGATAGCTCAAACGGTAGAGCGCATGCTTAGCACAAGGTCCTGGGTTCAATCCCCATTATCTCTTCTAAAAACAAAAAACTAAATAAATCT